CTGGTGAATTCTGGGAGTTGAAGTCCACATGTCTTAAAGTTGCCAAGTTTGAGAAACACTGGGCTACCTGGTGCCTTTTGCTATTTTGTACTAGTTTAACCACCTCGGTCATATAACCAGAAAATGCTGCCTTTGCATTTATATGCAGAGCTGTCCAATAAAAGGAACCAAAATAAAGGCATCAAATTTAATTGAGAAGACTGGAAAAATGTTTTTCTGTCTTTAAACCGTCTACTACAACCATCGGCCACCAGCTGCAGCACCTGCCCAACTCTGTTTGGATTCAGAAGCTAAGCAGGGTTGGCCCTGGCTGGTATGTGGATCGGAGACCAACAGGACACCCTTGTTGTGGGTTAGCCCTGGGAAGTTGAGAAAACTTCTTGGAAGAAGAAAATGGGCACAACCCTCCATACTGTGACCAAGAAAATTCCACGGATGTAGCCATGAAGTCTTCACAGATGAGCTCAATGCAATACCCACCAGGGAGAAATGGTTGGTGAAATTGACAGAATTTGCTGAGACGGACAAACTGACTTCTTTGATTAGAGAAAGATCATTACTGACATTCATCAATGACCGGAAACCCCTTATGGACTTTTTGTGTGAGAAAGAAAATGATTCTGTGACTTATGGTTTTGATGATTAGAAAGAATAGGTTATAGAAAGAAGGGAATTAGGATGAAATTGGAGAGAGTGGTTTGATTAGAATTGTATGTATAACTGCCGAGAGGGACATTGGAAGCCATTTCTGTGTGCGTGTGTGGGTAAATAATGCTTCCTGTCTTTTTATTTTCTTCTTCTTTATCTTCTTTTCTCTCTTTTCTTTTTCACACTTACTTTACTATTTTTTCTTTTTTTTTCTTTGCATGTATTTCTTATAATCTATGTAAAATCTTTTAATAAAAAATATTTTAAAAAAGACGAAGTCAAAGCAAACAAGACTTACTGCAACCATGGAAGACTTTGGTCCACAAAATTGCTGCCTTCTGAGTCTAATGGATCTGATTTCCAAGCAGGAAAGTCCTAAGTTCACTATTTACCTTTCCATTAACAAGTCATCCCTGAGGTCAAAGGACTTTTTCTGCTTGGCACCCTGGAAACTGTTCCACCACCTGGAGTAGCTGGCATCAGGCAGGATGAACTATCTGCCTCCATGGGATGATGCTGTTAAACTCTCCGCTTAACAGTGTTAAGCCTCTCCTGCCTGGTATAGGGGGAGGAGGGTATTATCTCAAAATCCAGAGCTAATTAATGAAGACCAACCAAAATGGCACCAGAACAGCACCCAGGTGAGCTGTGATCCCGTCTGGGTGATCTCCTGCAGTGGAATGTTTGTGGATTAGATGTTCCACTGCTATGCTTCTCTTTCTGTTGGGTTAGTTAATATTGCGATGGTGGTTGTTAGCACAAATCTGTATCTTTTTCACCTGATTACTGAATGAGGTATGGAATGGCATACTGCACAAGGGAATGAATAAATGAAATGCATCTCGGGAAGACCAAAACCCAGGCTGGCTATTTCACCCATGACACCTGCAGTTCCAAATTAGTTTCAAGACAGAGATTATTGATTGAATGCATTAATCAGTCAAAAATGTTGTCATGTTAAACCTGATGCTTGGGGCAAAGGATAATGGCTAACCACTTCACCTAAATCCTAAAATGGAAAAAAAAAAACTTTTCGTCTCCAATCTGTCTCCTGTCGTAGGTGCAGGTTCTTGGCCAGACAATACAGAAATAAAGAAAATATTGTTTTGTTCACTTCTAGAGCAGTTCTGGCAGTTGTGCTGAGCGGGGTGTTCCCTCTCATTCTACTAAGCAGGTCTGGGGGCTGTTCCCCAAAGTCTGCCCTGAGAGCATCACAGCCTCCCTAAAGATCTGTTTCACCTGCTCCAATTACTTCCTTCAGCTCCACGACTGAGGCAAATATTCAGAGACTCTGTAATTCACTGAGCATAAATACAAGCATTAAAATATGTATCATCAGATGACAACTGAAAAGATCAAGGAAAAAAAGAATCCAGGATAGGAGGTGAGGTGGGGGCTAAACATTTACCTGAAAACTTGACTTTGCCAAAAATGTGGTATATGTTTCCAGAGAACGGACTTGACTTGTTTGTGGACTTCAAAGCTGTTTGAAAAGGCAACATAATGATTAGAGGAACCCAAAAGCTGATTTCCATGCAAGTTTTTCCCCCAAGTATTTCTGTACAAACTAAAAAATACTGCACTGATAGAGACCGTGACAAGGATGATCTTTAACATTAGAGGGAAGAATTTGCTGCAGGAAACCCATTTTCTTTTTTAAAGGAGCATTCTAGGATCAGATACAGAAATATGAAAATAATTACATTATGGGTTTTTTTTAACAGAAAAATTATAGCAAGGATATATCTGGTATCTCAAGTTTACCAAGGCTGCAGGAACAGCTGATATCAGTTTCAGCCACAACATATTCTTGTTAGCCATTTCAGAGAGAAAATGCCCTCATAATGTTAGACTCCATGTTACTTCAGAAATGCTAATTTACCTTTACATTTTGCTGCAAACCGCATTTTCTCCAAAGGGCGGTTAAACCACACACAGATTTGGACCATGGGGGGAAAGACAGAACCAGCTCTAAATTTCCCATCAAACCTGAAGGAAAAAAAACACTAACTTTTTAAAGGAAAATATTCGCTCTTAGTTACCAATCACTTTTTGAAAATTAGGTGAATCACAAAGATGAATTTACATTTTTGAACATTTAAATAAAGCAGTCTAGTTCTGCTTTTCAAGGACAGAAACAGCTGAAGAGGAAACAAAAGGGAGCTGCAGAAGGGAGCAGGAAGGACTCTGTAGTCACAGAAAAAAGAAAACGTCATTTGTCTGGATTTGTCTGCCTTGACATAAGAGCAGGGCAAACATGTTAAAAGAGCATTAAATAATAATCTGCAAAGTTCTGCTTAACTGTGCCTGGTTTGGCCTCAACCTGAGAATAGCCTTCATTTGGGCTGCTATGGCAATTATTTTCTTTAACAAGAAGATGGTTAAGGAGCGCATAAATAAAAAGAGGTCTTTATATTGCAAAGGGGAGACCATGGATTGAGTGATCCCTGAGTGATCTTAGGAAGCAGGACTGGCTAATATTTTGGAGAAACTGTTAGAGCAGATGGGAGAAGGTATGTGCACCTCGTAACAGAACACAGGAAAAAAAATGCAACTTCATGTGATCACATAAACAGTGCTAGAAGCGTTCCAGATGTGTTGGACTACAGCTGGAAGGGCTCAGCTGGGGGAGGGAGATTTAGCTTTGGAAACAGTGGCAGAGCAAAAATCCTAGCAATTCTTATCCAAAAGGGGTAAGACACTGTTTACCTTAATAGAAGTATTGGTGGCATTCTGAGAAACCATACATACAGTGAGAGATTAGCATCAATTAAAGGAAAGGAGAATTAATGGCAATTAAGTAGGATAGGAATCCTCTGAAATATCCTGGTTTTTATAAGACATGTCTCCCAGCTCAAATCTTGGGAAGCTGTACCTTCCCTTATTTACTCATTTCCTCTGTAGCCTGTATCGCTTACTTTTGAGTCGGTTTCCAAATACTCCACTGTTGTTTTGACATGCAACGCCACCAAACCAAATTTGTTTCTATTTTAATGAATGTAGGGTCTGCCCAACTCCAAATGACTCTGGATGGCTTACAATTAAAAATAAGAAAGGATGATAGGTCCAACCATTATCCTTGCCAGTCCTACATGTTTCCATCCTCTTATTCCCTCCAGGGAAAATTTTCAGGAGATCGAGGACATGGAACTTTGCTGAAACACCCTTCCCTGCCCTTTGGGAAATGGAAACACCACTTTTGGAATTTCAGAGCCCCTTGTCCCAGTTTAAACTTATTTTTTCAGACTATATCCTCTGAAGGGAACAAATGGAAGTGAGAAGCAATGTAGAGATTACAGGTGAACAAAACAGAAAATTACTTCCCAAAGTGTTCAGCCCACCTATAGGACTAATTAAAAGCAGCACAGCCTGACAGAAAGGGACAGATCAGCTGGAAAGCAGTTCTAGGGATCTATCAAAACTGCCGAGATGGCCTTGATCCTTGATCTGCATGTCAACTTTACTAATAGAACAGGCTTGAACTAGAGAAAGGCCCCTGAGACTGGGTTTTAGCAGAGGGCTACCATATCTGAGCTATAAGAAACTGGAGGTTCTGTGTCTTCTTGGTGCTATCTCATGATTGTTGGAAGTCTGCCATTCATATATGTTGTAAGAGGAGAACTGTGTTAGTCTAGGGTGGTAAAAAAAATCAGGAGTCTAGTAGCATCTTTCCCAATTCACACATTGTAATAAAATGTGTGAATTGGGAAAGGTGCTAGCAGACGATGCCTGATTTTTTACAGTCCTGTTTTAGCATATGGGGACGGCTAACGAGAGAAAGAGGTTCTTTGTATGGCCCCGAAGCGTTAAGGTCTTTAAAGCAAGACTGTAAAAGGATGGGTGGCTGAGTGTTCTTTACTGTCCTTTTCTGCCTCCACTAAAGATCTTCAGAGCCATCCATTAAAAGTTGGAATCTTTTAATTGGAAAAGGGAGCAAGTGAAGAGCAAAGGCCTGAACACATTTTTGCTCAGAATCTACTCACAGCATTTCCGCTGACAGGATGCTTTAACTAGAGAAACTAAACAAGTTAATCTAAGCAGGCTTGTTCAGGTACATGCTTGTTAAGACACCGGCTCAAACATTTTGCCAAATGGAGATACTTGCCAGCCAGGGTACATTAAGTAGCGAGCTGCCAACATCTGGGGGTTTGAGAAGCTGTTTTCAGAGAGGATAAGTTCAATGTCTTCATTTCTAGTGGGAGAGAATCAAGATTTTATTTACTTACTAATATTTACCAAAATTTTGTTTTCACAGAGCTTTAAAGCACCCTTTCCAAACTTGATCTCTCCAGATGTGTTAGGGCTATAGCTCCTAATTTTCTAATCAGCACCTCAACTTCAAAGTCCATGAGATGCACCAAAGCAACAGGAGTGACATCAGGTTGGAGAAAGCTGTTAAGAAACTCTTAAGCAGCTTTTCTCCACCTTAACAACTTTAAGATATGAAGAGTTCTACTCCTAGAATTGCTTTCTCTTAGATATTTCCTTCAGTTTTATAGTGATTGATG